AAGAAAAAAAAAAAAATAAAAATAATTGCATTGATACATTAAAGCCAAAATAAATATTATCTAGAAATTGGTTTTAATTCATATATAAAACATTTGAAGTAATTATTAAAATATTTTTGTAGAGTGCTTTTCACAGTAAGTATTGTGATTATTGTAAATACTTTTTCCCCCTTCTGAAATTTTCCATGACCCCAGTTTAAAAAAAAAAAGCCTAGCTTACAACATTAAAAATATAACTTTTCTGGAATGCATATTGGTTGAGCGTGAATGACTGTTATCTAAAAAAAAATTATGTAATTTTATTGACATGACCAATGCTTTAAATAAATTATTCCTTACTTACCTGTAGTTTACACCACTGTTCCCGGTTAGACCTGATAAATCAAAAAATATTATTGAGTAAAATAGTGTAAATAGCCATCAAACCCATTATCAGTCCTTCCCAAATCTCTCTCTGTATGATTTATGGTCTTTGTTGGTTATCATGGGGATACACAGTTGGAGGCCAGAGGTGAAGGGTAAAAGTTTAACATGTTTGAGTGGTCATGTCCCCAAATGACCTTGGAATGTCCTTTCAGGCTATGAAAGCGAGAGTGAAGCTCTCTCAGGTCTTCGGTGCACAAGCTAATTAGCAGTGTAGAGCTGCAATAAGGTTAAGACCCTCTAACATCTCCAGGAATCCCCTCTGATCCTCTTATGCTTCAGCAAATCATCCAACAGTCACCCTCCCCTCTTCCCCCGAGAGAAAGATAGAGAGAAGTCTCCATCACACTCTCTGTCCTCTGATCTCTGACCGCTGCTCTCACAAGATGGGGCATAGGTCATAAGTTTACTCAAGACGTTTTGACCTTTACCACTCCAGCCGTCGTGGAAAAATAATTATAGCGGTGACACTTAATTAGTCATTGGGTTCAAATACTTTTGACTCAGGCATTATTTGTCTTTCTCTGGAAAGCAAAGAAGGTTAAGTAGAGAGCACTCAGATAGCGTAGATAAAAGGCACTTTAATGTATAGATGCATGCAGAATGTGCATTTAGAAAAGAGAGTTCCAAGTGCAAAAAAAAAAACGGATTCCTGTGGACAGAAAAAATCATCGATGCATTTAAAGCACATTAATTTTTATTTAGGCTGCATATTATATTGTGACAAATCTAGTTAATAATGTTTAGACCAATGGTTCTCAAACTTTTTTGACTTGGTCCCTTCGTTGTCCATAACAATATTCGCAGGGCCTCTCATTTAGAATACAGTATGATATTTCCTCCAGTATGTTTGGCTGTAAATTTGACACGGCTGCTTTTTCAAACCTTTTCATTAACAGAAACGGAGAGTGTCAATATAATTAATTAACCACAATGATTCTTCTGAGGAGAAAATTAACCACAATTGTGTTAATTTTCAGTTGTTGAGGGGAGAAAAAAAATGTATGTATATGTATATATATATATATATATATATTAGAATTTTAATAAGTTATTTTTAATTTAATAAATTAATTAATACATTTCTGAGATTAAATCAGAATACTGAATTGTAAATAATAGTGTTCGAATTGAAAATAATTTACAATTCCAATTCCTGAACGGTTCAATTATTGATTGAAAAAAAATCAATTTCATTGTTTAATTTAGAAATACTATTCAATTCTTACAAAAGGTGTTTTTAAACTAACGTTTTAGTCTTTTTAGAGGCAGCATAAACGCTATCCAGTAATTGGCTTTAACTATATATTAAATGTCATTACTAAACAAACAAAAAATGTGGTAATATATTTATTTAATAAATTTTCATGAAATACTACTGTCAAAATTCATAATGTGTATTTGTAACTAGACATTGTCTTACGAACAACCAGTTAGTAAGTACCCTATGAGTGTGAGCAAATATTATATATACGTGAAGTATAAAATAAAACCAAAAACTGTGTGATTTTGATTCATACATTAACAGTCAGTCCTTTGGGAATGAAAAAGGACATTCCACAAAGTTGCAGGAGCAGTAGATCTTATACAGGAATACCAAAACTGAATTCCTTTGCTGTTAACGTTTTCACAGAAAGAATTAAATTATAATATATAGAAAATGCAAAAAAAAAGCGATTGCCATGCTACAGCTGTCTGTGACGGTTTGTGGATTGAGCCCTGCAGTGAATCTTACACCAAATAAAATTTATGCACATAATTTATTTAATATATTTTTATAGTACTCACTTTTTGTATATTTACTAGTTCTGAACTCTGATTTGTAGAACAAATTATTTCCCCCCAAAAATAATTAGAAAATAACAAAGTGATACACATGCCCTTCTCCATTTCCATTTCAATCAACAGTCCACCAATCATCTCATTTTAGAAGTAGTGAATGTATTAAAATCACCAGACTATTTAAATTGATTGGCTTCTTTTGTTGGACAGGAGGACGTTTTAAAAAGGAGATTGTAGTGGATGGACAAAGTTTCCTCCTCCTAATCAGGGATGAAGGGGGACCTCCGGAGGCTCAGGTAGGTAGTACAGCCACAAATACAATGTGTTTTCCTTACAGAGGATGTTCTGATTCACAATGCTGTGCCTTAAGGCCCGTTCACACCAAGCACGATAACTATAAAGATATAACGATAAAGATATAGTTCTAAAAATCGTTCTCAATATTAAAGAATAGCAGAGTCCACACCACAACTATAACGATAAAGACAAAGAGAAACGATATCGTTGGAATCACTTTCAAAACGATTTTTCTCCAGCTGATGAACGATAAAAAATTGAGAGCCAATCAGAATCCATCCTGCTGTAACGAGCTCAAAAATTTAAAGCGGCAGACACGCGTGCGCTTAGAATAAACAGACGATATCGTTCGCTGGTGTGGACGCTAATATCGTTATCTTTATAGTTATCTTTATAGTTATCGTTCTTGGTGTGAACGGGGCTTTATTAGTCTCAACTCTGGATGGCGTAGCTATAACAATATATTAATTTTGTTTAACAAAGCGGCTGAGTGGAAACCATGATGTAATAGGATTTACATGAGGTTGATAACATTTATTTAGACAAACTGATTCTCTGTTAGTCATAAAATGCAAACAGGAAGTCTCATGTGCCTCTTTCTCATGGTCTATGAAATATGAATTTTATGGTGTGTCTCAATCTGTTTCCTAAGTGCACTGAGCAGGGAGTCAGTCAATTCTAGTGCTCTCAGAACTGTTTCAGTGCACTTATTATGGAAATTCCCAGAATTAACCATATAAATCCTGCGAGTATTGGTTGTTCCATATATATTCACTTACCTGAAATGTTCTCATGGTTTCTTAAGTCTCAAAAAGTATGAAAAATGTATGAAGATAAATCCTTATTCTTCTGTCTTTAAAAAGGAAGACTGTATTATTTTCATGTCTAATGAAAGAGAAACAATCCTGCAAAATTTTAAACAAAAAACAAAACATGAATTATGTATAGTTATAAGAACACCCCACCTATTTATTTTACTGAGGTGCTAATATTTATATTCTAGGAGTGTTTTGGTCATAATAAATGTAATAATATATAATGTATACTGTATACACTTTTTTTTTCAGGACAAGCACATTTTCAATATTTCATTAACACTGTATTTTATGGACAGCTACAACTAAGATGCATAATGGGAATGTTGATAACTGATAAATACCTCCTGTGTTTTAATGCACGACTTTAAAATCATAACACAGCTAATTGAGTCATCAGTGTCCCAATATGTAGTGGTTCAAAGCCCTTGCTAGTGCACAAGCTCACATTCACAATAATCGCATCATAGGGAATAGGGAGTGGAAAATGATGAAATATAAGGATCTATGAAATATGTTTAGCCTATTTTAAACAAAGAAGCATAATGTTTTTTGAATGATGTTTCTCTCTCACTTTCTAAATTTTTCCCACTCTCTCAATCATTCTTTCTTAGTTTGCGTTGTGGGTGGATGCGGTGATATTTGTGTTCAGTCTGGAAGATGAGATCAGCTTTCAGACGGTCTATCACTACTATAGTCGTATGGCCAACTACCGCAACACAGCAGAGGTGCCCCTGGTGCTTGTGGGAACTCAGGGTGAGTCTTGCAGAGAAAAAAAAAACAAAAACCTGGATATATCATATGACAGCAACTCACACTCAAAATTCAAGGCCATATTCTCCAGTGGCTTGGCAACAAATTGAAAAGAATACAGTTTGACTACTAGACTCAAATTCCTTACATGTTTCAGGGATTGTTGATCAGTTTTTAATTATGTGTTGATCAGTTTATAATTAAGTTTAATTATGTATTGCCCTGTGTGGGCAAGCATTATTTATCAATCTTTATATATACACTACTGTTGAAAATGATGGGGTCGGTAATTTTTATGATTTATGTTTTTAAGTCTGTAATGCTACCAAGACTGCATTTATTTGGTTTATAAATAAAGAGATAAATAAAGATTCTGTAAAAACAGTAACATTCTAAAATAATATTACAGTTTGAAATAACTGTTTTATATTTTAATATATTTTAAAATGTAATTTATTCCTGTCATGGCACAGCTGAATTTTCAGCATCGATGTCACATGATCCTTAAGAAATCACTCTAATATTCTGATCTGCTGCTCAAATTGCTATTTCCGTGGAAACCGTGATACATTTTCAGGATTCTTTGTTAAACAGAAAGTTCAAATAAAATATTTTGTAACATTATAAATGCCTTTACTGTCACTTTTGATCAATTTAATGCAAAAGTATTAATTTCTTTAAAAAAAATTTTTTTAAATGTTAAATAATACAAGAAAAAAACATAACATTCATACTACTTGTGTTTTTGGTATATGATCACTAGGGGGTGCCACACTCTAATTAATGGAAAATTAGAGCTAAAGCTCATCTACTTGTTTCTTTGTTCTTAAATATGTCATGAAGTTTTTTGATGAATTTGAAGCCTCTTTCATTTGATTTAATGATGTTTTTAAAACATTAATTATTTGTCTGTTTTTATTCTGACCAGTTTTAGTTTCAAATTTCTTTGTCTCGTCCTGACCATTCACAGATGCAATCAGTGCAGCCAACCCTCGTGTCATCGATGACACCCGCGCTCGCAAACTGTCCAACGACCTGAAGAGGTGCACATATTATGAGACCTGTGCTACCTATGGCCTCAACGTGGAGCGCGTCTTCCAGGATGGTGAGTCTTTTCGTACTGTCCTAAGTAGTTTAAAGTGTAAGCTTGATATTTTTGCTGCAAAAAAAAAAGACTTTGAATTTACTGGCAAAGTTGTGTTTAAACACCTAAACAAACACAAGGTCATCAGTGGTGGTTTAAATCTAACATTCTTCCCGGATGTGTCAATTGTATGTCACCGCTGTTAGATTAGATTCATTGCAGCACCGGTCATAACAGTGCATGCTTGGATAACTGTTACTTTCGCATTATGTAGGATACAGCATAAGGAACAGGAGGCAGAAAGTGCAAGGTGACTTTGCTGTTGAATAGCCGACCCAATCTGGCTTAATCAGCTCTTAATTACAAGCTAAATGGCCCATCTCGCCTTGCGTGGCTCTGTGAGGTATAGAGATAGCCGTGTTGTTCTGTGTGCTGGATTTTGCTAGGACTCTTTGAGAAGTAAGATTTCACGAGCTTCATTAACCGTGTCAGGTGTAGTGTTGCGTACTTGGCTGTTAAAATTAGTAAAAACACTATAATCTAGCAGAGATAGAGTGAGGAAGAAGTTGTTAGCAGCCTTTGAGACCTGTGCTCCACTAGGGGGCACAAGATGGTAAGAAATGGGACTCATTTCAGAAGATTTTATTATTCGGAAAAGCATTGGAGGACATTTTTCCTTGTTGGGAAATTGGAATTATAGTATGTTTTGACAGATTTGATATGCCATTTGTGCTGTTTATTATCAAACTGTGAGGTTTAGCAAGACATTTATATTTATGCTCCTGGCAAGTGCTTTGTGGCTTAAATATCTTTCAAGTGTTTTTGAGTGCATATTGTGTAAACTGTTAGTACCATAAAGTTATAATACACACGTGTAGTTAAAAAAAGGAAAAGTATGTTGAAATCCCACTAAAACTCCAAGAAATCCCCAAGAAATTAATTCCCTTTTGATGTATCATCACTATAGCCAGCAAAGTGTTACTTTATAAAAAAAAATCACCACAGTAAACTGTTTCCCGTGTTATGAATGAACGATGAATGTGGCGAAAGTTTGGGGTCAGTAATTTTTTTTACATTTATTTATTTTGAAAAAGAAGAAGAATAAAGTGACAGTATCGAATTTTACATTTTTATATAAAAGTACTTGTTTTTTTGTTTTTACTTTCCATTCATCGAAGAATTCTGAGAAAATGTATCACCATTTCCATAAAAATATTAAGCACAACAGCTGGTTTTAACATTGATAATAGATAAAGGTAAAGGTAAAAAAAAGATAGACTAGAGAAGAGAACATGGGATATTTTGATTTACACTGTTTATCCTTTTATTGGACTTTCACTGCAATGTATTACGTTTCCTTCTTGGTGGAGCACATTTCCTCCCATTCTTTCTATCTTTCTCATCCATTTAAAAAAGCCTGGACCTGGAAATCAGTAAAAAAAAAAAAAAAACTGAAGACTGGAGTAATGGCTGCTGAAAATTCAGCTTTGCCATCACAGGAACAAATAACATTTTAAAATATATTAAAATAGAAGACAGTTATTTTGAATTGTTATAATATTTCAAAATATTAATGATTTTACTGTACTGTTTTTACTTTTTGATCAAATAAATGCAGCCTTGATAGACACAATACACTTCTTTTAAACATACAATCTTGTCGCCCCTGAACTTTTGAACAGTAATATCTATCGATCTGTTTTTACCTAAACAAGCATATCTCTAATAACAGGTGAAGTAAATATGGTGCAGAATGTAATACTACTTTGATGAACACTGTCAGCTACACACAGCAGTAGTAAATACAAATGCTTACACTGCTTATTGGTACAATATATACAAGCAGCAAACATGCATTTGTGAACACTTCATTGTGAGTGTCAGTCCTCATAACTGAACCTTCAAGTTATTTCTTAAAGATCTGATTGAATGTAACTGGTTCTTCTGTCCCCACTGAGGAAAAAAAAGAATGCCTGAACCTGGGCAAGTATGATCCATCATGAAGAGATCTGGGAGAGTTGATGACTGGTTTAGCGAGTCTTGGTCTGAGCTGGATGATGGGTTGGAGATGGTGGGGCCCCCTGGAAACAATGCTAACAAATTTGATCTCGCCAGCTACGAGAATCCATTATATAGACACGAAGAAACATAAGAGAATATTGTGAAAAGAAATGGAAATCCAGAACAACCATTTAATTCAAACTGACACTTTTCTAACCTTTCCCTGGGCCCAGTTGATCATCCATATTGATATTCAGTGAACGTTTGTTGTTGTGATGTTTGTGTGTTTTTCTAAGTAACTCTATCTTGTTTGTATATTTATATATGGACACATTGGTTTGGTTTGCATGTGGCATTACGTGTGTTTTGTGTATTTGCACATGCATGTGTCTGCGTGTGGCTGGCTGGCAGATGCACGCAGCTCTTCGGAGGGGTTGGGCAGGCTGAAGCGTTCAGTGCTCCATCCAGGAGGGAGATTTACACTCTAAACGCTCAGCTATTATCTTCTTAATTATTACACTGTTGGCTGCAGCCAAGACTGCTGTAATTTAACTGTGTGTGTGTGTGTGTGTAAAAAGA